CTGAGGTTTGGCTGCTTTCCGGTGGGATGAGCTGGAGGGATGGGAGTGGCCACCAGCAGCAGGGGAAAAAAAATCTCTAAAAACCATCTTCCTGCCCAAACAGAGCCTGTGGCATGTGGGCTGAACTGGGACCTCGCGGGAGAACGAGCCGCAGCCAGGCTCTGGTTTTGGCAGCAGCAGAGACACTGTGCAGATGCTGCTCCCGCCTTGACCAATGTGGAAACCGAGGCATGGAGGGAGGCAGCGGTGGTGGAGCTGGCAGCAGAGCAAAGCCCTCCAGCCCGGAGGTGGTCCCTCTGCCATCGCCCAGGGGACAGGTCTGGGGTGATGGGTCTACCGGGCATCGTCCCTACCTGCACGCGGACCTCCGGCAGGTTGACCTTCATGGCCAGCTCCTCGCGGCTGTAGACGTCAGGGTAGTGGGACTTCTCGAAGGCGCGCTCCAGCTCGTGCAGCTGGTAGGTCGTGAAGGTGGTGCGGTTCCTCCGGTGCTTCTTCTTGGGCTGCTCCTCCTCGGTGGTGGCTGGCGGGGTGTCCTCGCCGTCCCCCGGCTTCCGCAGCTCGCCCAGGTCCCCCTCACACTTATTCAGGAACATGGCGGTGCCTGCGAGGGGACCCACGGGGGTTAGCTGGGGCTTGGGGACATTGGACCTCCCCATGCAACCCCAGAATGGGGACGGACAGACAAGTGGATGGATGGATGGGAGGACGGGGCAGCCCCAGAAACGGGTTATGCAAAGGCATAATCCTCTCTTCTGCTGCAGCGTTATCCCAGGGACTGACCCGGGGTCCTGGGGGCGGTGCCCTGGGCACCCCGCACTTGGGTCCACCATGAGATGCGACCAGGTCAATGCGCCCACCCAAAGCTGAAAGTCAAATTTCACCTAAAGTGGAGAATTTTATAAAAGTGCCATCACTGAGAGCTGACCCGAACTGTTGCCTGCCCTGGCATGGAGGAGACCAAGCCCACGTCAGCTCCCTCCTTCCAGCCCAGCTCCTCTTCTCCAGCCTCTCTTCCCCATGGACTACAAGTCTGTCCCTGCACTGCTGGAGGACCCAATGTTGGTTCCCAAGCGTGGCCGGAGCAACCCTGTGCCATCCCCCGGCTAATAACCTTTTTTCCTTACGCTTATAAGCATTTTCAACCCTTGCAATGTTTCATCTTTAAGCTTTTTATCCGGCATCTGAAATCTTCCTGCAGTATTTGCTGGGGATTAAGGGTCCCTTTCGACCACGAGGATGTAGGCAACCATGGAAATGGGGCAGAAAGCGGTAATCCTGGGGCAGTTCTGCTGAGGGGAAGGTGCTGCATTGCCCAGACACGCCGGCAAAAATTTGGCTAACCAAATGGGTGTGGGGAGGGAGAGGGAATGCCAGTTAATTCTGGGAGGGAGTAAATGGGGATCCCGAGAGGGCGGCATGCAGGGGCTGGGCATCGGGTGATGCTCAGGCTGTGGGGTGTCCATGCGCAGCGTGCCTGGTGAGTGCCTGTGTGTGCGGTGGGCAGTGCGGGTGTGAGCAGCGCGTCGGCAGCAGGCACGTGTCTGTGGGACTACAGGGATGTGCATGG